ACGCAAAAATTTGTTTGCGGTCGTACTATAATAAATAGGAGATTCGTTATCATCTTTTCAGATTAAACAATCATTGACAATTGTTTATACAAGGCGTATTTGTTTATTATCCAGAAAGTTCATATCTACAAATATCAATATCCTATGACGAATATAATTCCAGTTCTATTGTGTAACTTCGATGAGCTCCTCTACTGGTCAAGTGAACTCCTCTGCTGGTCAACAGTCAACACAGACAAAGTGGAAACAAATTCTTTCGAGGACAAGAATCACCATGCTTACTTCGTAACTCTCTAAAAGGAAGTCGTTCCTGGTTTTTGGGATTTATACTTACGTGAAATACGTCTATCAGTACTATACTAAGAGTAGAATGGTTCTTCTAAAATAGGTTTTCAAATAAATAAAAGTACTAAACCAAATTATAGTCCTGCATGCTTCAGTTGTATTCCAGACAATTTTTTTTTTAAATTTTGCTAGTTATAGAATTTCGATTATGTATACACATATAACAATAATTAAAGTAGAATTACAATCAAAATTAAAATCTTCCTTAAAAATCAAATTTCCCATGCCATTGTGAGTAAAGAAAAAGAAAACAAATACCCCCCCCCCCCCCCCCCCCCCCCCCCTTTCTTACCTTTGTCAACTGGATCGGTAGAACTATCTGATATATAAATCTTTCGTAAACACCTACCTTTTGTCCTGTTTGTTGTTATTCCGCAAAGACCACAGCCAGTATACTATTGCCGATAATGAATATAGTACAACACTTTAGGTCAAAAGTAGTACCACTGTGGTCTTTGGGTTGTCCACACCTACCCCATAGCCCGTGAAGGGTTAGCGGGGTCGCTATTGGTGAGGGCCCAAAAACCGGGAATAGTTTCCTAAGTGTGAAAACTCAGGAGAGTTACGAAGTAAGCGTTGGTTGTTGGTGGTTTTAGCCCAACGAAAGAATTCGCTTCCAGTCAATCATTTTCACGACCGACCAGAAGGGGAGTTTTCAACAGTTCCGACGAACACAGAGCGATCCGAGGTTTAAATACCTATACTGTCGTCATGATACTAAAAATAAACAAAGATTTATTGTTAACGTAGACAGTTTTCGGATCTTTTCGTCTTTTAACTCATTTTTAGTGAGGCCTTCTGTTCGAATCGTCTCTGCTTTCTCTCTTGTCAACGGATATATTTTTGCTGTTGCATGCTTTTTCATTCGGAAAATCTATACACTTATCATAAAATTGCTGACAGGTTAACCTGTAATTCATAAAAAACAAATCAATACTCAATCGACATGGTTGGTAGCAACGAATAAACAAATTGTAAGGCCATTCCAATATTTTTTGTTCCATCGTTTTTTAATTAATTTTTATCCCAAATTATTTAAAGTTTAAATAAAAAAATAATCGAAAAATAAATCAAATAATATGTAAATATAGAACAAGCCTTAGAACAAGAACATTTTATGACAAATTAAGGACCCACAAGGGGCATATATATATACATCATGAAAAAGTCAATAATGCATTTTTTTTTAAATTTGATAAATATACAGCAAAACATGACGTTTTTTTCTACATTCATGAACATTTGATAAATTTGAGTTATTTCTAAACAAAAGATTTCATAAATTTATAGGATACTTATATAAAACAGAAATTACAAATAATTTAACAAAAAAACAGCTTGTGTTTTTCTTTTAAAACAAAAAAGTTATGCATTTCTTTCGGAAGGAAAAATACGTCCACAAATCCGAATTTTGAGCATATATCTGAAATTTCGAACTCATTTTACTCAAAAAGTAGCACATGAAGGTATATTTTTTATTACATATTTGATTTAATCAGGTAAAAAATAGCCTATTTGCAAATTTTCATCAAATTTTCATTATGGGATCAAAACCCTTAATGCAATTGGTTAAGTCGCAACTTGTAATGAAATCAGTATAGACATGATCCAAGATCGATGATTTTGTATCAATTGTATTATACATGTGTAATAATAAGAGTATAGTAATATTGTGTGTCATTGACATAGTTTGATTTTTATCTTAAAAGATATTATTGAAACAAAAAATTAATTAACACTTTTTTCTTGAAAATTTAGGTGCATATCAAAGATACAGAATGTAAATCTTGTAGATTTTACATTTAACAACAATTTAGTTGTTTTTTCTAACATGTGACAATACGGACACTACTAAATGACCTAAAGAAATTAAACCATTATTTTGACCTGGGACATATATATCGAATACAGCGTTATATATCAGGTCTTACTTTTAAATTAAGGAAGTTCAAAGTTTAGAGCAATCTCATATAACAAAATACTGATTGTACATTTCATCTTTCTTTTTCTATCTTTCTCTTTTCCTTTTCTTGGTCAAACATTTAGTAAGACAGTTCTGTGACATTAATTATCTCTTGTTATATTAGGTCCCAGGTCCGCAGAGTTGACTCAATGGAGGCGAGCGAGACCAAGGGTACTAAGTAAACTGGACCCCTGTACGTTGTGTTCACTTATCCCTAAAATAAATCCGAGAGGAGATTTAGATGTTATGGCGGACCAGTTTAGGGTACTAAGTTAGGCTAGTTGTCCGATTGAAAGTTCCTCCATGGTTAAAACTTCATCCATGCAGATCCCTGCATAAATATTTGGATCATACATTCGTCGTTCGATGTTGTGTATCTTTGTATGTATGCCTATTTTTGCCGAAGTTGTTTGGTGTTGCAATTGGTGGCAGGTGTGGCCTGTAGTGTGTACAATATGTTTCAGTTGGTAAATCCTGCATGTCATCTATCGTTTAATATGGGGAAAGAGTTTGTATTTTGGCGTAGCTTGGCCATTTTTAAGTGTACGCCCGAACCTTGGCGAGGGGCGTGAGTGCCACCAGCAGGTTTAGGTCAGAGGACTTCCTGGTAAGAGGTTCGTTGGAGGTGAAGCACCAGGAAGCTCACTCGTTATTGAGAAAGAAATATTATTTTAAATAAATTTGTCATAAAAAACTCATCAATAGTAACATACTTTAGAGTCTAATTTGTTAATTTATCAGTTATTGTGTTCATTTGGAATCTAATGGTCATAGGTTTCAGAGAAAAATGTCCAAACCAGTCACTTTATAATATGTTTAAAGGGAGATGTGGGATTAAACACAAGCAATCGACAAAAATCCCAAAAAGCAAAGAGTTTCCATTTCAATGTTGTCATATATTAATTATTTTAACTTCATCTTATTTTCTCCAATTTTTATGCACAAATTTTGTTTATGGACACAGGAACTGATTAATGTTTATAGATGGTCAGGTGTAACATAAAAATGTGTAAGGCATGTGTCTCGCCTGGGATTGCTGCTGTCAGTGTAAAAGCGGAATTTAAGAAAAAAACAAACTTTTTATTCCGATGCTTTTTATGAAATTGAACAATTAGCTGATATCCAAGTGTCATAACAATCTATGAAGGTATAAAGATTTAACATGTCACAAAAATTTAATCCAGTCTGTTAATTGCAAAAAAAATAAATATAAAATAATCCGTCTGTCAGTTAAATACAGAAAAATAAAAAAAAAATGATCTTTCAAATTTTGCTTCAGACATTATCTCTTAATCATAAAAAAGCTTCTGCCAAATTGTCTTAAAATTCGATGAAGGTTTGACAAAGTAATTGATGTTTAACAAACTTTAACCTAAGACTATCTTACTGTATCTACTTATTAACTGCAAAAATAAGTCCTTTTATCAGTCAAATACGGAAAAAATATATTTTTATTATGCTCTGGATACTATCTTTTGGTCATTAGAAAGCTTCTGTCCAAATTTCATTACATTCCATGAAGGTTTGACAAAGTTATTAAATGCTTGAACAAACTTCAACCATGCACACACCAAACCTAAGTGTTGACGACGCCGACGGAATCTAAGATCGGTATGTGTCGCTTTTGCGACATAAAGGTCACAGGCTCGATATTCACACTTTGACAGAAAATGAACAAATGTATAAATAATATGATACCATTTGATTAAAAGTAAATTTCGTCACTTCTTTCTTCAATTACAAGTCATAGAGGAAAGAATTAAAAGGCATTTAACCAGATCTTTTATTTTATTTAGATTAAATATTTTTTCTCTAAAATTTATGTGTACGCCCGGGCGTTTTGACGTAAACGTAGCTACGCGCCTGGGCGTTTGTCCTATTTGTACCGGTGGCTAATACTATAGGTTTTATCCTCGACTGGTTAAGTGGCAATTGTTGAAAGAAAATCATGTTAAACCATTACAATACATGAAATACTTATACTTAGTACCTGCTTTTTGTACAGTTATTAAACCTATTTTTTATTGGCTTTATGATTATAATTGTACATGTACTGAAATTTAACCCTAACCTTTTGTAATAAATAGTGGACTGATCGATATTGTTTTGACATTGATAGTTGTCTGAATAAGTGTATTTTAATTCTAAAACCGGAATTTTAAACCCAACAACTTTAAACTATAATACGGTGAGAAATTTTGATTTTATATATACAAAGAAATTATTTTTGTTTGTTAATAAATGTACATGTAGACGTATTGTTTAGTTAATTCCCTCATTCATTTCCCATAATCAAACTTAGAAACTATAATAATGAATGCGAATAAACTTATTTAAGTTTGTTTTTATCGCCCCATATTTTTTTTAATTTACAACCGTTATCCATTCTAACAATGAATATGAATTAAAAAAAAACAAACAACAACATTACTACATGTTTTTATTTTACTAGTGTTTTATTGACACCTTGATTCTGTTTTATTTATTCATACGGAAAGTAAACATGTGTAATGTGCAATCTAATTAAAATCAAATCTTCGCACTCTTTAATTAGATTGGTGTAATATGTATACATAAACATTTTGTTTTGTTTTGACGACGATAGAAACAGATCATAACGTAAGTTTTATAACTCTTGTTTTCTTTAAATGATCAAATTATATACTTAGTTATCTCCCATTTTACATTTCAGAAAATGGTTAAAGTTGTTTTAAAGTACGGTCCTTACCAAAGATGAAACGGGGTCTATCACAGCGAAAAGAAAATACAGGGACTTAAAGGTGAATACTTAACATAGAATTGTCATACTAAAATGGAATTACTGGGAGTTAATTATCTATGCATCGTTAATAAACTTTAAGACTGAAATGAATAATAAGTTCTAATTTACGCCTCTTACAATGTAACGAAGTATCTACGTGTACTTCCAGACAGAGGATTAGCGGGGATCTGGTAGTTTCACTTGAACTTTAAAATGTTTCTGCTTATAATACTCCATTTTATGAATCCTTATACAAATTTAAGAAGTAAGTATATATATAAATACACAACTAGATAAATTTTCAGACAGTAAACTGAAAAATTACCATTTATATAAAACAAACTTTGGTTTTGAAAAATATCTAACACATTGAATGATCAAGAACTTTGAGCTAAGAAGAAGTTTTACAAAGTTACGTGTATCTTCTCATAAGTTACAAGTAGAACTAGGTAGATATGAGCTAGGGTATTCCCCAAATTAACAGAATATGTAATAATTAAATGTTCTTCCAATACTGTCGAAGACGAGGCTCATTTTGTTTTTGATTGCAACACATTTGAGGATGATAGATATTATATGTTAGCTAGCATTGCGAAATGTAATTCTTATTTTAATAATATGGGCAGTCAAAACAAAATCATCAGGTTATTTAGTGTAGAAAATGTTCATTTACTTAAAATAAATAAAAAATATGTAATTTTATATACAAACATCTTCCTTAGTGAAGATTATTTAATGGGAATCTATGTGTGTATGTACATTTGATTGGACATCTTAGCAATATATAGATCTGAATATCACAAACATAATAGCCGATTTTTTTTATATATATATTTATAGAAACATAATTTGTTCTAATGTTCTCTTATATCATTAAGGCATCGTCCCATGGTATCAACTGCATTCAAGTTTCCTATGATGCTACCTTGTTTGCTTTTGATACAGGTCGGAACGAGACATTTACACATATTTTACATGCCTATGGTCCATAAGGTATCACCCCCTGGTGTCAGCTGCATTTAGGTAACCATAATGCTTTCCTATTTACTGCTGACACAGGACAACCCGTAGACATGCTTAACTTTCTTTCTTCTTTGGCTAGTTAATTATGTTTATCTAAACTACCTGTGTACTATATATATATATGGATATCTATTTTTGGCTGTTTGTTTGTTATCTATATCAACCGCACTTGCATTAAAATGCGTATTTTTTGGGGCCCTTTATAGCTTACTGTTCGGTGTGAGACAAAGCTCCGTGTTGAAGACCGTACTTTGACCTATAATGGTTTACTTTTTTAAATTTTGACTTGGATGGAGAGTTGTCTCATTGGCACTCATACCACATCTTCTTATATCTATTATATATCTAAAGTTATAGATTTTTTATCTATATATTACTTTAAGAACTTTAATTGTTCTCGTAATGTTTTTTTGTTTTTTATTTAATTAAAATTGAGAATGGAAATGGGGAATGTGTCAAAGAGACAACAACCCGACCATAGAGCAGACAACAGCCGAAGGCCACCAATGGGTCTTCAATGCAGCGAGAAACTCCCGCATCCGGAGGCGTCCTTCAGCTGGCATCTAAACAAATATGTATACTAGTTCAGTGATAATGGACGTCATACTAAACTCCAAATTATACACAAGAAACTAAAATTAAAAATGATACAAGACTAACAAAGGCCAGAGGCTCCTGACTTAGGACAGGCGCAAAAATGCGGCGGGGTTCACCATGTTTTTTGAGATCTCAACCCTCCCCCTATACCTCTAGCCAATGTAGAAAAAACAAACGTACAACAGTACGCACAGTAAAACTCAGTTTAAGAGAAGTCCGAGTCCGATGTCCGAATAGGAAACAAAAGAAAATAAACAAAATGACAATAATACATAAATAACAACAGACTACTAGCAGTTACTGACATGCCAGCTCCAGACCTCAATTAAACTGATTGAAAGATTATGTCTTCATCATATGAATATCAGGCACAATCCCTCCTGTTAGGGGTTTAGTATTATACCATCATAAAATATATGAGAGGAACATAACCCGTGTCATGCCAACAACTGGTTTTAGAATAAATATGTTTAATTCCGATGCAAAGACCCTATAAGTGAATCAATATTAAAGCCAAAATATGCAATCTTTAATGACCTGACAACAGTATCGTAACTATATCCCTTCTTATATCTGTTTAAAGGTTTTGTTAGCTTTTGAGGTGAATATATACTGACATTTTTGTGCTTTGTAAAGAATATTACCATGATAAAAGATTGGATGTGAAATACCCGAACGTATAAGATGTCTGCATATTGAGTTATATTTACGAATGATGTCCTTATACCGATGATAAAATTTAGTAAATGTTTTGACTAGTTTATGATATCGAAAACCCTGGTGTAATAATTTTTCAGTAATACATAAATTTCTCTCGCTAAAATCTAATACGTTGTTACATACACGAGCGAATCGTACAAGTTGAGATATATAAACACCATAAGATGGTGACAAGGGAACGTCACCATCTAAAAATGGATAATTAACGATAGGAAATGAAAAATCATCTCTTTTATCATAAATTTTTGTATTAAGCTTCCCGTTAATGATATAGATATCAAGATCGAGGAAAGGACAGTGGTCATTGTTAGTATTAGCTTTATTTAAAGTAAGTTCAACAGGATAAATTTCTTTAGTATACATACTGAAGTCGTCATTATTGAGAGCCAATATATCATCCAAATATCTAAAAGTATTGTAAAATTTTTGTATCAGATGTTGTTTCGATGGGTCTTTGCTGATTTTAGTCATAAATTGTAACTCATAACAATACAAAAACAGGTCCGCAATAAGTGGTGCACAGTTAGTCCCCATTGGAATTCCGATAACTTGACGATATACGGAATCTCCAAAGCGAACAAAAATGTTATCAAGTAAAAATTCAAGGGCAGATATAGTATCAAAGCATGTCCAATTGACATAGCTCTTTTGTTTGTTGCTAACTAAAAAATGACGTAAAAGAGTTTGAACATATGTATTCGCATTCCGACTTTTTAAATGCCCATTTAATTAGGTGTGTGAATTTTTTCTTAATAAGAATATGAGGCAAAGTGGTATATAGGGTAGAAAAATCAAAACTTTGAACAGATTCAAAATCACCAATATATGCATGCAATTTATCAAGTACTTCCAACGAGTTTTTGACACTCCAAAAGTAGTTAATTCATCTATTTTCAAAGGCCTTATTTGAACAATTTATTATCAAATTTTTGTTTGTACCAAGTGTACTAGTAAGTAGAATAGACAATTTAGTAGTGGAACAATGACTTGAAGACGAAATAAATCTATATTTGTAAGGTGATTTGTGTAGCTTCGGAAGCCAGTACATAGTTGGGACTTTCATTGTATTTGGTTCTGCTTGTAAAGAAGTAGCTAATAGTTTATGTTTGTTACAGATATCGTTTTCTGAAAATGAAGTCAGTTGGAATTGTTTGTATTGTATTGTGAAAATTATTGATGTTGTTATGGCCTATAATTGGAAATAAATTCTTCTTCTTCTTCGTCTTCTTCTTCTTCTTCTCCTATGCTCTGTAGTAACTTGTATTCAACCAAGAAATATAACATGTTTTATCAAACAGGGCCGGACCTCGGAATTTGGGTTTTGAAAGAAGCTGAAAGAATGAGTGAAAAATAGGCAATTGGTCTGGGGACGGCCATCTAGGTAGGGGACTAAGAGAGCGAAGCACAGGAAGCTCCTGAAACCACAGGATTTACATGTTCTTCCATTTATCTTTTCATTTTTTCTTTCTCTTTTTCTTGTACTTAATTGTCAGACATGCATTGGCAGTTGTAGGGGGCGCTTGTCATCTACAATCCTTTTTGAGTGAAGCGACAACGGCTATGTTGTAGAAAAAACCTACCCTGATAAAGTTGAATGGTGCTTCAGTTAATTGTATATGTTTTTTTCTATTTCTATACGTACAGGTATACTGGGGTCATCTGGTTTTACTGTAGTAACTCATAAAATACAGAACAGAGACGCTTGTCAACTTACAGTTGATTCTAAAGTTGTCTGGAGTTGCAATATAACAGCACTTCAAACAGGTAAGTCTACTTTGTGTTTTTGTAATTCTATTTGTATCCATCTGATGAGTTAAGCCATTTTCAACAATTTTTTATATTTTGTTCTTATGTTGTACTGTTACACCACTGTCCCAGGTTAGGGGAGGGTTGAGCGCTCACAAACATGTTTAACCCCGCCACATTCTTTGTGCCTGTCCCAAGTCAGGAGCATGTAGTTCAGTGGTTGTCGTTGATTCATGTTTGTCATATTTGTTTTTCGTAAACTGTTTTGTTATAAATTATGCCGTTAGTTTTCTCAATTGAATTGTTTCATATTTTCATGTCGGGGTCTTTTATAGCTGACCTTTCTCATTGCTGAAGGCCTTACGGTTGCCTATAATTGCTTACATCCACACCATTTGAACTTTGGTGGATAGTTGTCTCATTGGCAATCATACCACATCTGCTTATTTTATAAACATCAGAGAGAGAGAGAGAGAGAGAGAGAGAGAGAGAGAGAGAGAGAGAGAGAAAAATTTTGTTTTTCTGACGGCATAAATTTTTTGTCTTAAAAGGAAATTTTTTTGTAGTGCTCTTAATAATTTTTCTAGATTCATTTAGTGGCAATTTGTTCATGCATATTCAGAACGATTTATGGTAGGAAGAATAACTAAATACAATGTGTATACTTTAAAACTATCATTACAGAATTTGGAATTATTTTTAAATCAACGACCGGTGTATATATAAGAATTTTAAGTTACGACTTTATAGCTTAGAAGAAATGTCAAGCTTCTTTAAACTTTTATTTGTTGTATGCTATATTTTTTTCACTATATTATACTAAATGCACGTTAGGCACAACTAATCCATTTTAAAGGAACAGATTCATCTGATAAATTAGATGTACCATCATTTCTAATAGGTATATATTTTGTATATTTAAGGTGGAGGCGGAATAGAGGATCCATTGTGTCTCGAGGCTCTAAGTGCTGTAAAAAATTTAACATCAAATAAACCATAAAAATCATAGAAATATTTAGTAATGTCAAAGAATCCTGGAAAAGTTATCATACGGTATGGTCCATATGGGCCATGAGGAAGAGTTAAACACAGAACGGAACTACTGACTGGACTGATCAGTAAGTTTATCATAAGAAAAAAACCAAAATAGTTTTGTTAGTAACTAAAAGAGAGGTGAGAAGTCAAGATATGAGACAGACTTAACTGTATCTATTGTATCCTTTATATCAAGTTAGATCGGAAAGATGCGTTCAAAATAGTCACCAAATTTTGAATAATTTAGTGAGAGAATATCATCTTTATAGCGGAAATTAAAGTTAAAGGATACTGCTAACTTCTTTTCCTTCTTCCTAAGAAGTTCCTGTATGTTGCAGCGTTTTTCTCTTATCAAATTGTGTTCGCCTTGAGAGCTTTATACTTGATCTCCGTCAATTCAAGTATGCTTTAAGATTGGCATTTACTGATCCACCACTTATGATATCAAATGAAATTAAGGATTAAGAGAAAACAGACTCATCGGCTTGATGTCAGAATGATGTGTTGCTGATCGTTGTTATTTTTCTATAATTCACTTATATTATTTGATTTAGTTCAATGCATTTGTTACACTAGTTCAACACCCACTATATCAAAACATTCAAAACAAAATACAACATTAAACATGTGTTGAAGTATTAAACACCACGTCAATTCATTTTATATCTTACACACTCAAGATAAAAACATAAATACTTTGAAAGTATAAAAAGCTACATTTATTTCAGAACAACTGAAAGATTTAGGAATGGAGACCCAACTGTTTCAAGTTCAGGCGAAGGAGGCGCTCCAAATCGTGGTTAAAGGAAGAATAATATGGAAGGGCAATATAAAGTCTCTATCAGGAGGTACACACAATTAGTACAAAAGTACACGAAAATAACAGATTGATAACTTGAAACAAAAAAGTTAAAATCAGCATTTGAAAAAATCCATACCAGAAATGGGTCATTGATTCAAGTTAGAAAGGTGCAATACTTAATAAAATCGTTACACAGAAAATTGAAATTCTCAAATTGTGATTATTATTTTTTACTGTATTTTCAAGCGCAGTGTTATATGTATACTTTGTTAATCATATAATGAACTTTCAGCGCTATTTTTACACTTGGTATTTGACGGACTTATTAAATAAGCGAATACTACTGCTACATGACGTAGATTGTTACATGCAATATGACCAAAAGGAGATTGTGAGTAATAATAATGCAATGATGAGATGAAAAACCATATACAAATAATACTAAGGAATCCAGAGGTCAACTCACGACCTTTACCGATAGTGTCTAGCTCTAACTCGCCCTGTATATGTAAATGTATACATTTTATGGTTGAATAATTTTTTAAGTTCATATTTCTTTTTTCCAGACAGTTCCGGTCAAGCAAATGGTGATCATGTTTGTAGTTCCATTCTGGAAAGAGTTTCCTCTGCAATACAGTAAATTACATCCAGTTTTGTACATTTTGACAAATTCGACCGTATGAAAATATCATGCAAAATTTTTAAGGCATAATATTAGATTTTTAGTCGAAATCATATGTAAAGAATTGGACATGTTTTTTTATAAATAAACCATTTTTTATGTTGTTGTCAGTATGTGTTACTTTTTTTTTATTTATAAAAAGATTTACTGAGATAGCAAACGAATGACACAGCAACAACAGTAAAGACAACAGGACTAATGGCACTTCACTGCCTTTAGCAATACAATTTTTTTTGTCTTTGAAAGAAATTTCGGACCAATACTACAGTCGTAATTCTGGCACGAGAAAAGTCCCATGATAATTTTAGACTGGCAATAAAAGGTTAAATAAATATAAATTAGATCGTGCCAACTTAATAATGAAAACAAATGACTACTAGTGGACAGTATATGAAAGATCCGCGATACAAAACTCAAAGTTAAAGATGTTATTTCCATGCGGTGTATGTCTGTTTTGAATTTAGATGTTGTCGTTATGGTACAAAATGTATATGTTTTGCCTCCAACTAATGAAGTTAATATTCACCTTTTTTTATTTCATCGGTCATTTATAATTTTGCCTTTGTGTCGCTGGATACTAAATAGTTTTAGTTGAACTTCAAACTAACTACATGCATGCAACTTCATATTGAGTATGGTCGAACTCCTAGGTAGATGGCTATTGGGTTGCTGATATTATAAATCATAGAAATTTTATACTGATAGTGATACTATATATATACATTTGATGCAACTATATATGCTATTAAATGATTTAATAATAGAAACAAACCTTATACTCCCCTGTCACTTTTCAGCCAGAGTTCTTTCTTCTCTTTCAGTTGGTATTAAAAAAAAACACGATGTCCAACTTTTTTTTTCATGTTTTAAATAATAATTAATTTTTTTTGTCATTTTTTTTAAAACAAACTTTTTTCTCTTCAGTGATGAGTCAAATTATTTTTTTCCACATTTTCCAGAAATAAACTTTTTTCCAAACAAATCCATAGCCCCCCACCCACCCACCCCCCCCCCCCCCCCCCAGAATATCAAATGATTGCTGCCTTAGTGTATAGGTTGGTAAAACCTGTTTTTGAACCTCTTCGTCTCTTTGAACAAATTAGTTTACAATATATGTACATTGTAGAAAAATATGAAATTTATTTGTAGGAGCGTCAGAAACAGGACGAAAAGCGAGACTCGCCGAGTACTTCTCCTGTTTCTTAGCGAGAACAATTAGTTTGATATTTATCAACAATGTACACATATTGTGTGTATCAAGCAGTTAAACACTTTCACTTTAATTTACGTTTAGTTTTTAATTACAAATTATTAAATATTATTTGGTTTTTACAGAAATCGACATCATTAAACGTGGCTTCGAGTAGAGGCGCGGATCCTAAAATGAACTGTTATGTAAACAATAACACAACTGTTCTCTCAAGATATCAATCAGGATAACAGAAGACTTTATTTGTACAGGTTTATAATAGAATTTTACAAATAATAATAAATATTTGTGTATATTTAAAAAAAAAAACTTTTCCTTTGAAGTTTCTCGAAACCTGTATATAAGGCATGTTTATATATAAAATCAATTTATGTAGTGAGTGACGTACTGTGTTATCTTACTACTTATAATTCAGTGAATAATAAAAGGGTCAATAAATAGATCGAAAATACCTTTATCAAGAAGAAAAGTAAACACTTTATATTACGAAATATGTGCATTGGTACCGTAATGTCTGTTATGGAGTAAATAAATGATCACTGTGTTCATTAATCATCATAATAGCCATACTGTGGTAAGTACAAGTAATTAAGCATCGCGCGATCATCCACTTTGCATGGAAAATAGGGGGGGGGGGGGGGGGGGGTATTAAATAAAGAAGTGATTTGTTTACCATGTTCACGTTGGGAAGTGAAACATAAATGGGCTTTTTTTTAATTTTTGAAAATTACTATCTAATTCAAATTTTGTAGAAACTCAAATAATATACGTGCACATTACAACTGCACAAGTACATAAAATGTACCTACACAATATTAACCTTTTACATAGACACTAACTGTTTAGTGTATTTAAATATCAGCTGTATTTGTACGAGGCTAAGAAACAGGTGTAATGCGAGCTTCAGCGAGCTATTACTCCTGTTTCGAGCCGAGCTGATATTTAAAGACACTAAAGAGGGTGGCAAAGGGTTATTTTCGTGGATCGTGGTTTGCCATTTTTATTTTACGTGCAGCCGTGACAAAGGTTCGTTATTAACCGTGTTTCATGAAATCGGTAAAAAGATCAACGTGCAAGAAATTTTGAATTGTTCGTTCAACGTGAAATGGCAATTTTATTTCGCGTTCTTCCGTGCAGATACCCCCCCCCCCTTTACACCCCTCACTAAACAGTTATTGTCTTTATCCTGCAATTAATTTTATATATTGTTTTTGCTTTGAAAGACAGAAAAAACTCACATTTATTGCATTTATTTTCAATTTAAAATCCTTTGAGGCCCGCGTAGTAATATTAAAATCACACATTTAGCTGAAGACGGGTTCGCAGAAAAGACCCTCGAATGGTCAACAATAGTACATCGCTCAAAGTAAACAATTATTTATTATAACATACCAACTAATTTCAACAGTAAAAATAAATAACAAAATATTGTTCGATTTAAAACAAAAGTGTATGGTTAGTCTTACGCTTCAGGATTTTGAACTGAACTTGACATTCGCTCAACATGCTGAAATTGACATTGTTGCATGGTTGATTTTGTGTTACACATGTACACATTCAAGTTTTGAACTCGATGATTGGCGCCGTAGAAAATGGAGTTAATCCTGCTGTTCATGTTGTCTGTTAGCAGAAAATGGGTTTAATTCATATTGCTCTAAAGAAATGCTTGAAAACAAACAGGACGTAAATTAATCTATAGTTCGCATAAGGTCAAGCAATTATACGTCATGCATTGGAATGCGACTGCAATACAATTCTGAGGTCACGCAGGTTCATACAACACTCGTCAGCAATACACAAACGTAGTCCGGCAGTGGGCGGAGCTTTAAAGCGATATCTGTATAGGCATGATAGGATACAGATACAGCATAGCGATATCTGTTGGGTTGTATATGTATGATAAGACACCCAATTGCAGGATAAAAATGTTTATATCACCCCATCGTTGTCTATAGACATCAAACTCAAGTACTGTGTGTGTAACATTTAAAGAGTCACAGCTTGTATATTTACATACTTATTAAACACACTAAAATAATATCACCATATTCATCGAGGTGAAAATGTGAGAAGGTGGAGATCGTGTCCTGATATACATGTTATATTTGCCACTGATTTTTATTATCAATTTATCACCATATTCATCGAGGTGAAAAAGTGAAAAGGTGAAGATCGTGTCCTGATATGCATGTTATATTTGCCACTGATTTTTATTATCAATTTTTCACCATATTCATTGAGGTGAAAAAGATAAAAGGTGGCGATCTTGTCCTGGTATGCATTTTATCTTTGTCACTGAATGTATATGTAAATTTATCACCATATTCATCAAGGTGAAAAAGTGAAAAGGTGTAGATCATGTCCTGATATACATTTTATCTTTGCTACTGCACGTAAATGTAAGTTTATCACCATATTCATCGAGGTGAAAAAGTAAAAAGGTGTAGATCTTGTCCTGATATGCATTTTATCTTTGCCACTGAATGTATATGTAAATTTATCACCATATTCATCAAGGTGAAAAGTGAAAAGGTGTACATTTTGTCCTGATATGCATGTTATATTTGCCACTGAACGTTAATATCAATTTATTACCATGTTCATCGAGGTGAAAAAGTGAAAAGGTGGAGATCTTGTCTTGATATGCATTTTATATTTGCCACTGAGCGTTAATATCAATTGATCACCATATTTATCGAAGTGTAAAGGTGAAAAGGTGGAGGTCTTGTCCTGATATGCATTTTATATTTGCCACTGAACGTTAAACTAAATTTTTCGCCATATCCGTCGAGGTGAAAAAGTGAGAGGGTGGAGATCTTCTCCTGATATGCATGTTATATTTGCCACTGAACGTTAGAATACATTTATCACCATATTTATCGAGGTGAAAATGTCATCAGGTGGAGATCTTGTTCTGATATGCATGTTATATTTGCCACTGGACGTTAAAATAAATTCTTCGCCATATTCATCGAGGTGAAAAAGTGAGAGGGTCAATTTATCACCATATTCATCGAGGTGTAAAGGTGAAAAGGTAGAGATCCTGTCCTAATATGCATTTGATATTTCCCATGAATGTTAAATTTAATTCTTCGCCATATTCATCGAGGTGAAAAGTGAGAGGGTGGAGATCTTCTCCCGATATGCATGTTATATTTACCACTGAGTGTTAATATCAATTTATCACCATATTCATCGAGGTGAAAAAGTGAAAAGGTGGAGATTGTGTCATGATATACATTTTATATTTGCCACTGATTGTTATATCAATCTATCACCATATTCATCGAGGTGAAAAAGTGAAAAGGTGGAGATCTTGTCCTGATATGCATTTTATATTTGCCACTGAACGTTAAATTAGATTCTTTGCCATATCCGTCGAAGTGAAAAAGTGAAAGTGTGGAGATCTTGTCCTGATATGCATGTTATATTTGCCACTGAATGTTAAAATAAATTGATCACCATATTCATCGAGGTGAAAATTATTGAAGGTGGAGATCTTGTCCTGATATGCATGTTATATTTGCCACTGAACGTTAATATCAATTTATTACCATGTTCATCGAGGTGAAAAAGTGAAAAGGTGGAGATCTTGTCCTGATATGCATTTTATATTTGCCACTGAGCGTTAATATCAATTGATCACCATATTTATCGAAGTGTAAAGGTGAAAAGGTGGAAATCTTGTCCTGATATGCATTTTATATTTGCCACTGAACGTTAAATTAAATTTTTCGCCATATCCGTCGAGGTGAAAAAGTGAGAGGGTGGAGATCTTCTCCTGATATGCATGTTATATTTGCCACTGAACGTTAGTATTAATTCATCACCATATTCATCGAGGTAAAAAAGTGAAAAAGTGAGTTGGTGGAGATCTTTAGAAACAATTTATCCTGTCTATGTGTTCATGTTCCTGTTTCAAGTGAAGAACCTGGTCATTGGTTGTCTTTTGTTTTGATCTTGAGAGTTGCCTTACGTAGTTTGTTGGACTCATTTGCAATTTCTAAGATTAGAAGCTTTATAGACAATATCATAGCCATACAGAAGAAAAAATTACAAAATTAAAGACAAGTAACATTCTCCAAAACCCTACAAAGGAAACAAAGAAAAAGATTGAGCAACTAACAATCCACCAAATAACCGGGGTGAACTCAGTTCCTGCCTCAATATTAATACCCGTCGTGTTAGTTACTGGTGTAAATTAAATTACGGAGATTAGTCGCATTGGACTGTGTCTCAATCAAAGCAAAAAAGGAACATTAAACATTAAGGAAACACGTTTCACCAGATGTTATATATTTCATCAATTATCTATACTTTTTTTTTTACAGAAAATGCCTATTTTACACAAGTGCAGACCATTACATTTGATAAACCGCCAGGCATGCGCGAAGTTGTTCTCATGTTGTACACGTCGAACGTCTGCAACAACAACAGCAAATAATGGAACAAAACCAACACATTCTGTTAAACCATTCAGTGAGATGCCAGAGGCACTATCAGGACCACGTTTCATATCAATGTTTTATTTTATATATTTGTGTGAGTATAAATACTTATTCCATATTGATAGAACTTTAGTAGGTTTTTCTATATGAATGGGATTTTGAATAAATAAGCATATTCACCTGCGGAAAAAGTATATTCACCGCGCAAAACGTCGCGTGCTTTTACGTGTATAATAACGATACAATGTTTGACGTTTAGTTGGTTTTGGTAAATAACTGTTATTTTAAACATATTTTTCTCTCTCGGAACATGAAATAAAACAATTTCTGTCTTTTGTTTCGGTAAATATGTGGTTTAATTGACTTTTGAAAAACTGATATTCACTTCGGCCGTTGGCCTCAGTGAATATCAGTTTTTCAAAAGTCAATAAAACCACATATTTACCTCATCAAAAGACAGTAATTGTATAATATAAATATACTCAAACGAAAAAGAAACGCACCACCTCTATTAATTTCTTTGAAGTACATTATTTGTATTACCTATAACTTCTAAAAAACTAACAGCAATAAGTCACTGTTATTTGACACGTTATTTCTGGAGTCAATTTACATATTTATTCTTTCGTCGCTAAAAGGAAAATGGGTCAGTAAACCGCGGATTTGCGTTATTTGTGTTGCTAAGTACAATTTAATTTTATTATATAGTCATAATTATTTAAATTATTCGAAATATTTTAAGAACATTTTCAAGGAGAACAAAGTTATTTTATGTTGTCTTATTGGGAAAGAGGTAAGGCCAATTTCCCCTGTATTTATTTCACAAAAGGGTAATTTTCAAAAGGTCATTTTAATCTTTAAATTAGTTAAATTCGTTGTACCAATACTCTGTATATGTACGTTAAGGTTCTAACAATATTATGGGCTATTTTATTCAGATCGCCAATTCATGAAAACCTTAAATTTGGCTCTAGCTCTTTCACAAAATGTGTTATAAAAATGAAAAATCTATAAACATGCACTAAGTTTGTTTGGAAACGTATGCATATGGTAAACAAGAAAACACAGGGAATTATGTACATTCACATACTAATTGAAGTACAAAAACTAGTTAAAATTCCAAAAGTTAAAAAAGTGTAAGTTTTTTTCCTAAATTTTAATTTTGCCATTTGGTCTTTTTCCATTATCAAGATATCACAAAAAAGAGCCCAGTACTGACGTCATACTACACGATGATGAAACAGAAGCACGGTGACATATGGAAACAAAACATCAACATCGGAAAGGGAGACAACAACTATATTGTTATGGTCGGTCATCCAGACTACGCTAAAACTGTATTCCAAGCACCAGAGACAGAACACAGGAGATTTAAACTACAATTAATAGACGTTTTTACAAAGAAAAACAACTTCCCAAAATCAATGGCGTTGCTGTACGTAATTTTAAACATTATCACAGTTAATTTCTTGATTTATATATTTTACTTACGTAAATAGAATGCACGCCGAGTAATTTTCAAATTTCAAATCAGTGTAAAACAAACATAGGGAATCACCAAAAAGTCTTTGAGGAGCGTGGCAAGGTCAGTCAACAGTGTACGCATTCCAGGCTGATATGCATTCATCACCCTTTTATATATGAAACACATATAGAATTGTTAACCTAAAACGTACTCACGGCATTATAATGTCTCTCTTAGACTAGACTTGATCTAATTACACATTACTTAATCAAAATTGAAACAAACTGGTTTTTTTTAATTGATTATTCCCTTCTGAAACAAAATATTTTTTCCCATATATTTTTATTGTCATTGACAGGGACGGAAAAGAATGGGAAGAGCGTAGAAAGCCGACACAAGAAAAGATGTTGCGTCCTGCTGTTGTGGCGAATTACGTACCTCTAATTGAAAAAGTAACCAACGATTTCATTGAGAAACTAGAAAGGAAGGAAAAAACTGAAGATTTGTTTACAGATTTGCTCAACTATGCGACGGAAAGTTTGTATGATTTTAAAGATAACTATATTTTGGTATTATTCTTTGACACGCGTATAGAAGACGGATGTGGCCAGTTTCGAGATTTCTCAAAATAACATTCCAACTCAAAATGCTAAATCGTGAAAACGCAAAAATGCGAAGACGAAATCACGAAAAATCGCAAAAAACGCGAAATCATTTCATTTCGCGATTTTGCGTATTCGCTTTTGCGATTTCTCGTTTTTGCTCTCGTATTTTAGACTTTTTTCGCGTTATCGGTTTTTTTTCCTTTAAATATACAACGCTGAATCGCGAAAAAGCGAAAATTGACGCATCTGGCTTCCGCATACATGATTAAAACCATCTAACATAGTCACTCACATCACACACAGTTCCACCATTTTCTACATAAGGAAATGCCTGTACCAAGTCAAGAAAATGACAGTTGTTTTCCATTCGTTTGATGTGTTTCAGCTTTTGATTTTGCCATTTGATAAGGAACCTTCCGATTAGAATTTTCCTTGGAGTTCGTATTTTTGTTATTTTACTTTTTTCATGTTAAATTAGTACACAACAGAATATTCACAAAGGTTTACTTTTGAGTCTTTGGAACCATGAAAGAATATTGTTCCCTCTGAACAGTTGATTTCAACTTTTACAAAGCAAAAGCAATCTTTATATATATTGATATATTTTATAATTTGACACTTTTACTGACTGTATTCGGTCTTATTCCATAGTCGATCGTTAATCCTAAACAACTAAACTCCAATAACACCCTGATGTTGTGGCGCACTACGTCCCTCTTATTGAAATAGTGACTAACGATTTTACTGAGAAACTAGTAAGAAGACACAAACGTCATCAAATCAGACTAATCTAAAATAAACAAGTACTCTTCTTAAATATGTTTTGCAAATTTATTCGGAATTAAAGAGTTGGCGATTCTTCCTTTTATATAGCTTTACATGGAATGTGGAAGGTCTTCTTGGTAGAATAGGATTCGCCACTTGCATGCATTTGTAATAAGGGAACGACCATTTAACTTCAAGAAAGGGGGGTTATGGTTTTTTCCTAAAAAAAATATTCTAATTTGATTAAAAAAAATATTTTGGCCAAACAGTTGATTTAAAAAAAAATATTCTGAATCCAAATTATCTCTTTACCTTATAGTGTTAAATTTTGAAAGAAAAAATTTAATTGAGAGCGTCGAAAAACTAAAAAAAAAAAGTTCGGGCATGGCGCGAAAAAAATGTTCTGGCTCAGACAAAAAACCATAACCCCCCGCTCCCCCCTTTGAAGTTAAATGGTTGCTCCCTCATCATTAATAATATAATAGCATTACTTAATATAAACAGATCTTCGAAATAGAAAACATATAAACATTTTGAGTCGTATGAAAGTAAAACTTTAAACACAAAACTATTTAATAATGATATGAAACCAGTACGATCCCACGTGGAATCAACTGTACATTATATAGGTGAAATTTGCATCATGATGATGTCGATTTCAAAGTAATCTAGCACGTGACATATTTATTACTGATTTTTTCAAAATGAGGGACAAAACTAATATCGCCAAAAAATCTAAAGATTCAAACAAAGTCCGGTAGTCGAAAATACATGTAATTTATACTATTTTTTCTGTTTTAAGGTGTTGGAATGTTATGTTTTAATAAAAGACTTGGCTGTCTGGAAAATGATAACAATCCTGTGGCTGTCCATGTCAGAAAAATATTTGAGATGCTTGGAACCTCAGTTATGACACCACGAAAGAGTCATATGTCCCCTGATTCAAGATTCTTCAAGGAATATGAGAAACACACATTTGAATTTGTAAAGTACGTATTTTTTTTTCTTATTCGACAAGTGGTAACTGAGCGAGACTGTCACGATTTGGACTTTGCACAAACTTTTTAATGATGATATCAATTGTATGTATGCATAAATCAATTGATGTTATGCAATACTTTTGTTTGAAAACGACCTTTTTCGCACTTCCTTCTTTTTACAATCTGCTCTTTCTACTGGACATGTTTCAAATAGGTCAAGGAACAAAAAATGCATGGGCCTTGCTACAGTGTTCTGTAAAAGTTTGCATTCAAATTTGAACCCTCATTGAAATTAAAAAAATGCTTTTAGCTTGTTTATTTTCTGAAATATTATTGTAAAGAATTGCTTTATATAGATTTGATTATTTTGTTTATAATGAGATATTTTTAAGAACGTTTTTACAAATGTAGGTGCTTTCTTTACTATTAAATGTACGTGTATTTTGTAGGAATTCAGTAAACAATCTTCTAGATTTTTTTTTATATTAAATAGATTTTTTTTCGATTTTCAGTTTCAGTGTAACATACAGAAGCTGATATGACATTACCCATTTACTGTTACATAACCTTAAGGATTTTCGCTACTCTGTTTCAAAATAACAAACTTTTAATAAGACTGTTATAAAATTATAGTAAATAAATAATTTAAAAGGAACTAAAAATGCAGGTAAAAATGAAGGGTCCGTGTGCTTGTTTTCAAGATATAAGCCATTGCAAATTTGGCGGGAAATGATTCTCTCTAGATTTTTCAAACTTTTAACGTTGACCGCTTTTCTCTTTCAAAAACTATGAAAAAAATAACAAGGATTATATAAGATTCTCAAATATGGCTTTTTAAACTAAATGTAATAAAAGTATTGAAAGAAAAGTAGGGGTTAGTGGACAATTTTTTTTTAATGGCAAAACAAGGATAAAACCAGAGGATTCCGAAAATTTGGCAAAATTTATAAAACAGGAGGAGAGAACATCCTTAAAATTTATTTTGCATGTTTCTCGCCGGATTCGGTGCTTTTACTCTGTTTTTTGTGAATAAATAACACTGTTTTTTGAATATTATATGATAGAAAAAAAGTCACTTTAACGAGATCAGACATTGCTTAAATTTACTTGCAGAATTGCAAAGGAAATACTCGATTCACAGAAAATATTTCTTTCTAAAATGAAAGATGAAGAAAAACTAGAAAAGTATCTTGAAGAGGAGCCAAACTTCATGTACTCTCTTTTATCTGACCCAAGAGTAACAGAGGAGTCAGCAACAAGCATGGTTACCTCTCTCTTTGGTGCTGGAATTGAAACGGTGAGCATATTCTTGTATTTTTGTTATAGAATCAATGCGTTAACCAGTGAGACCTGTTACGATCAGACACGGGAACATGGTAGGCTGTCACACCACTGTCCCAAGTAAGGGGATGGTTGGGAACCCGCAAATTTAAACATGTTTAACCCCGCCACATTCTGTGTGCGTGTCCCAAGTCATGAGTCTATAATTCAGTGGTTGTCGGATGCTGCTGTATATCGGTTGCTGTTTTTCGTTTATCATTTTGTACATAAATCAGGCCCACAATTTTCTCGTTTGAATATATTTACACTTGTCATGGGGGAAACTTTTTATTATAGCTTTTTCTGCTGTATTAGTTTTTCTCATCGTCAAAGGCCATACGGAGACGACATGCACCAGTGGCGTATCCAGAAATTTTCATAAGAGGGGGCCCACCGACTGCCTAAGAGGGGGCCCACTCCAGTCATGCTTCAGTGATTCCCTTAATAATCAACCAAATGTTTCTCATAAAAGAGGGGCGGGCGTCGGGCCCCCTGGAAAACCCCTTAATCCGCCTCTGTGCATATGAAGTTGCTAACGGCAACGTCATTTGGTCTATGATACAAAGTTGTATCACTGTCAATCATACCACATCATCTTATTTGCATATCAAATATAAATGGACTGATATTTCATTGTTGAAAGTCCAATATACAATGACTATAAAAAAATTTATACATATAATATAACATTGAAAGAAATTTACCAAAGAAATAAAATGAAATCAGAAGAAATATATGTGTCTTGTCTCTAGTCTTTTGTGATTTCAGCAATGTAAATTTGAAAGGAAAGAGAGCCCACTGGAAGGCTTTATTTGTAACCTAATCATTTATTTTTCGTTTTGCCAATGACTTATAAGATTTTTGACGAAGATATTTTACCATAAGACGATGTTTCGCCTAACATGACCTTCATTCGAACTTGAACTTTGAGCATAGAATCAAATTTTGGCCCAAACATTTGACTGTTTTATTCTTTGACATAATTATACCATTAATATTTAGAACATGGGTGCCAGCTCTCAAGATGACATATTGTTCACTATTGAAGATGACATTTGTCCTTGAAATGTGGTTTTTAGGAATCATTATATTAAACATCAATTATTTGATCTTAATTGATATTCCAGGTAATTGGTAAGTTCAGAATCTAAAAAAAAATAATTAAAAAATCGCAGCATTGGTTTATTTTCCGTTGTTAGGAATTTGTTAATCAATCATAACGTTCTGGTGTATGCGTTTGAAATTTTTACCCAGGATTCATTTGATTCAGTCTGAAACGGTGAATTTACTAAATAAATATGATTTATTTATTCATTTCTTTATTAAAAGTCCGCCAATACCCTGACGTTTGTACTAACTGATCTAAGCTTGTACCCCGATAAACAGAAAAAGCTGTATGAAGAAATACAAAGAATTGTTGGTGAAAGTACAAATCTAACGAAAGAACATCTCGCACGGATGTCTTACTTGAAGGCATGTGTCAAGGAAAGTCTGAGGTATGTGCTGTCTGAAATATCGGTTGTTTGACAATTAAGGAACAGCCTCTTTAATGATACAAAATAAAAACCAGATAGGGGATATGACAAAGCAACCACAATACAAACATACTATACATGTATATGTATATTTGAAATACTGTAGATTCATTTATTTTCGTGGGTATCAATTTTCGTGGATTGAGGAAAACTTGCATTTTCGTGGATATTTGATTTCGTGGTTTGCCAACCTCTGCATGCAAAGCCTATTATAAATTTGTAATTTGTTGAACATTTATATTCGTGGTTCGCCTGTACCCACGAAACCCACGAAAATTGGTATCCAACGAATAATAATGAATCCACAGTAGAAAGATACTGGTCACGTGGATACTTTATAATTTCTAGGTTTAACTCTTAAGATACATTGATGTATGAGCTCTGCATCAATGGAGTTTCGTTTTGAAAGGGAAATATATGTGCAAGAAGAAACATTTAACAGCAAAATAAAATTGATAAATTTAATCATTTGAACGAATATTTTTAAAACAAACGACATATCTGCTGTTTTGACTTTTGGTATTTGTTTAAAGAATCCAGTTTCTCCATTACAACGAAATTGCTTTCTGTGGAAATACCCGTTTCTCTTAGAAACACAGTTTCATCAGCAATTTGATTAAAGTTCACATCCAGTGTCTAAGCTTTGACTACATGGCTCTGACAAAATTCCGTTTGACCTTTTGTTCTGTTAAATATTAAATCAGCCATTGAAATCGAAGTCTTCAAATTTTTAAAATGTGTATGAATCCAACAAACCTGGGAATACCGAAAGGTCTTTACAACAGAAAGTTTAAAAACAACGATGTGGTTTTAGATCTTTGTAAGCAAAGTTTTGACAAATGATCTGTATTTTAATCAATTTGTATTAACACCCAACGTTTGGCGGGATCCATATTTTGTCTTCAGTTGCTTGCCCACTATGTTCATCAGTTACCCACATTATTTGCCAACTATGTCCAATAGTTGCCCACATTACTTGTCATGTATGTTCATTAGTTGTCACATTGCTTTTCATGTATGTTCATTAGTTGTCACATTGCTTGTCATGTATGTTCATTAGTTGTCACATTGCTTGTCATGTATGTTCATTAATTATCACATTACTTGTCATGTATGTTCATTAGTTATCACATTGCTTGTCATGTATGTTCATTAGTTGTCACATTGTTTGCCATGTATGTTCATTAGTTATCACATTGCTTGTCATGTATGTTCATTAGTTGTCACATTGTTTGCCATGTATGTTCATTAGTTGTCACATTGTTTGTCATGTATGTTCATTAGATGTCACATTGTTTGCCATGTATGTTCATTAGTTGTCACATTGCTTGTCATGTATGTTCATTAGTTGTCACATTGCTTGTCATGTATGTTCATTAGTTGTCACATTGTTTGCTATGTATGTTCAGTAGTTGTCACATTGCTTGTCATGTATGTTGTCACATTGCTTGTCATGTATGTTGTCACATTGCTTGTCATGTATGTTGTCACATTGCTTGTCATGTATGTTCTTTAGTTGTCACATTGCTTGTCATGTATGTTCATTAGTTATCACATTGCTTGCCATGTATGTTCATTAGTTGTCACATTGCTTGCCATATATATTCATTAGTTGTCACATTGCTTGCCATGTATATTCATTAGTTGTCACATTGCTTGCCATGTATGTTCATTAGTTGTCACATTGCTTGTCATGTATGTTCATTAGTTGTCACATTGCTTGCCATGTATGTTCATTAGTTGTCACATTGCTTGCCATGTATGTTCATTAGTTGTCACATTGCTTGCCATGTATGTTCATTAGTTGTCACATTGCTTGCCATGTTTATTCATTAGTTGTCACATTGCTTGTCATGTATGTTCATGTGTGACTCTATATACATTTGATATGTAGGTAATTAGTAAAAATACATAATTATAAAGGGGCCTTAATTTGATTTTATAAAGTATTGGATTAGTTGCCCCGTTGCCTGTCATTTATATTCAGTAATTGCCACATCATTTGCCGTTACTCTTTATTAGTTGCCCCATTGTTTGCACTTTAATTGCCTGCCATTACTGTTTATTATTTCCCCCATTGATTGCACTTTTATTGCTTGTCATTTATGTTCATAAGTTCCTACATTCTTTGCCGCTACTGTCCTTTAACTTCCACACTATTTGGCATTAATGTTCATAAATTTGCTCATTGTTTACAGGAGAACATTTCCCTTATCTAGTGGTACTGGAAGATATTTAGAGACAGATCTTGAAGTTGGAGGATATCAAATTCCAAAAGATGTGAGTCAAAATGGCCATCTTTAAAATTAAGAGTCCAAGTACTTTAGAATAATTCTAAATACGACTTTATTTATAGTCAGGGTTAGGTTACGAAGTCAATGTCAATAGTATCGTGCCAGCGTCGTGTTTATATTGTAAACCTAGTCTAAACCCTTGTGTTGATATGGTTTACTGTACATGGTCGACATCTCGATGTATATTGTATTCAAAGTCTAAACCATTGCGTTTACATCGCTAACACGGCGAAATTTCCATTTCACAATATTGGGTCAACTTCGTGCTAAAATTGTGATCCGAGTCTCGCATATATAATAGGGACAGAACTATAAGAAATATATAAATATTCAATGATAAGAATCCTAAATTACAATCTTTTCACTGTATATTGTCTAAACTGTACATCTCATTTATAAGATCCAATACGAAGGAAATATTATTTTGTATTAAAGTCACATGAAACGAATTTCTTGTTATTATAATGTTAAAGAAATTATTTTACCAGTGCATGCGTAAATACCAGTGAACTTAGTGTTCATGCACACCTTGTTTTACATTATAACGAATCCATAACGTATAATAGACAGAAAACATTCTGCGATTGACTACTAACGAATATTGGGGTTTTGTTGCCGAAGTTTACCGATCGTGACATCACATGTCAATAATAAGTCAACACAGTCATGGAGCACGTGAAAAATAAATGATATAATAGAGCTATGTTTATTTTATTTCCATTAATTCCCATGCATTTCAATTTGACAACTAAACTTTGCCATAAAAGATGTTAAATGATTTGGTGTATTTTTTAGAATCAGTAACATGATATATCTTGCATGTTTGATTACTTTTTCTTTCATCACGGGTTTTTCTTTGCACTTACGATATGCGACTGTCGATTCCGAAGTTCTATTGAGAGTTCTCCTGGTTGAGGTCACTGAAGTATCATATGACTTTAAAATACTATGCAATGAAGAAAATATGATGAGCTAACAACTATTAATTTTCCGATTAAATACGATGAAGTACAATGTAAACATGATAAATTATATAAACACGATATCTTTAGTTTATTGTAGATATGGGGATGTCCATATTGTCGACGATTTAAATAGCATTGTCTACATCCGGACTTTGATGAAGTCGACGATGTTAAACCGATGTGGACATATGATCGTTTATTCAATGATGACAACGCAGTGTCGAAAATATTGTATGTTATTTATTTTGTTAGTTTTTTTCTGAATTAAGAATTCTTTCATTACTTATTTTAGACCTTAGTTGTTGTTAACAGTGCACTGATGTGCATTGACGAAAGATTTTTTCCACGACCAACAGAGTATCTTCCAGAAAGATGGCTTAGAGACACAGAAGGGGAGTTAACCATCAGTCGAAATTTTCCATTTGCATATAATCCTTTCGGTTATGGACCAAGAAGCTGTCTAGGACAACGATTTGCAGAAAACGAAATATTTATAGCAGTTACTAAGGTATTTTACGACTTCCTTTATAGTTTCTTAGCTGACAGAGATTTAAATTGGTGCAGAAGTTGCCGTTTAAAGATATAAGTCTAAAATAGAAAGGGCCTTTGCTTGCTTATTTAATGCAAAATACTATTTTTAAAGTACACCGCTAAAAAGTAGAAAAACAAAAATACCGAATTCCGAGGAAAATCAAAAGCGGAAAGTCCCTAATAAAATGGTAAAATCAAAAGCTCAAACACATCAAACGAATGGACAACAACTGTCATATTCTTGACTTGGTACAGGCATTTTCTTATGTAGAAAATGGTGGATTAAACCTGGTTTTATAGCTAGCTAAACCTCACACTTGTATGACAGTCGCATAAAATTCCATTATATTGATCATAATTATAGTCATTTGAAGCAGAATAACAAGTTGAAACCAGTCTAAATTAAATACCTCTAAAAGCCTCGTTTGAGTGAATGTTGTTCACAGTTTGAATTTTATGATGTGAAGTACATTGTGAACCAATTTTGATCTGAAACGGTAATTGTAATCTGAACAGCTCTTAAAAGTCTGAACAATAAATTATTATGTCATTTTCAGTCATTCGGTCAGTTTTCAGACTTATCTACTGCGATTAATTCAGTACTATCGCTACTGTTCAGACATTTCGCTTGCAATCATTCAAGATCTGTTGAGTTTATGTTCAGACTGTTCAGTAGCTGTTACATTATGTATTTATCTTTAAAACATGTACACTGTACTCTCTCATCATACTGATTTGTCTGAAAAGTTACTAAGCAGTACTGACTTGACTGCAACCGAGTTGTCTGAACACTGCTGAATAAACCGAATTGGATAAAATTACACGAAAGACTGAACAAGACTGAATAATTTTTTTCTTCAAATTTTTCATATGATGTTTAAAACAAAAAGAACGTTTTAGACTAAAATTTATTTGCTTGTGGTATTTTGTGATGCGAACCATCACTTACAAGAAATAAAAAGAGAGAGAAGTAATTTAATCAAGAGCGCAGATAGAAGACATTAATCTTATAAAGAAAAACAACACCATGGCCAATAATAATTAACAACCAATACTCTACAAAATGCTACAAGGAAAACTAATGATTGGACAGCCCTAATCCACCATAAAAAAAGAGGGTGAGCTCAGGTACACCGGAAGTTCCAGCACCACTTATTGTTTTTAGCATGAATCATAATCAAAATTACACGTACATGTATCTGGTATCATATAAATTAGCTTTTTGAACCGTTTATTCTGTATTCCTTTACCCACAATGCCTGTTTCTTTTCTTTTTTACGTTTTATTCAGTGAGCTATTGTAACCAACTGGGCAATATTCTTATTCTGTGAACCTATGTATCCAATGGGTTAACATTCTTATTCCGTGAACTAATGCAACAAACAGGGCAATATTCTTCTGTGAATAAATTTAACCAATGGGGCAATATTCTTATTCCGTGAGCTATTGTAACCGACGGGGCAATATACATTCTTATTCCGTGAACTATTGTAACCAACTGGGCAATATTCGTATTCCGTGAACTAATTAATGTAACCAAAAGGGAAATATTCTTATTCAATGAACTAATGTAACCAGCGAGGGCAATATTCCTAAATATAAGATTTAATGTATTATATTTTTTTTAAATGACAATCTAATCAGTTACTGAATATTTTTCAAAACTTAAGTCTTCAAATAAAAATGCCAATGAAAATAATCTCTGATAGAGGATTATTCTCATAGCATGTTCATCATACAATAATTACATAATAGTTATTGAAAAACCGGTCATTATCGTGATATATGAACTGCCCAAAGGACAGTGGTATTGACTAAGACAGCGATGATGACTGAGCCTACGGGCAGTCCATGTATCACGATAATGACATGTTCTTCAATAACTATTATGTTTATTTCATTGAGGAACCATGTTTTTAAAAATTGTCATAAATTCAAATTGATCAAAACAAACTCGAGTTATTGTACGATTTCTATAGGAAAGAGTGAAGACCAGTCATAGTGATAACTATAAGTCACTACCATTCATTTAAATAAAATTTTCAGTATATGAAAACAAAATAAAGTGTTCTATAATTTTATAATTTTATAATTAACAAAAACATATGGTAAACAATTCAACAACTTCAATATAAAATTAAAATCAGGAAAATGTTTTATTAAAGGGACATTTCTCTAAACAGAGAAACCACACCCCATCGGTCATTAACATGTAAAAGTCTGTTAAAGACCGATAGAAATTATTACTGAAGAATAAAGAATGTCATGTGGCCCCTTGTTATCCAATAAGAGAAGCTAATTCTTAACCGATATGAAATAACGTTGTTTATCAAATACTTGGCATTAATATGACAGTTGTTGCATACATGTATGTGTAACGAGCGGAAAGAAAACCAGCCATAAATTCAGCCTGGGTCGAGCTGATACAGGGTTATCAGTATGGGTCGGGCTTTTATAGAGTTCTCAGGCTGGCTGCGTCCGTACATCGGTAGCATAGGATAAAAAGATTTAGACATGTCCTTTTCCATTTCGGCCCGGATATCACCTCTTGAACTCGTTTCGGGCTGAAATGGGGGTTTTGGGATGATATCCGGTCCAACATGTAAAAGGCCATGTATTTATCTGTATTCATCACATACGTCTTTGCATTAATAGGATAGGTTTTGCATATGTCTATCGAGCGGAAGTAAACTAGCCAAACATTCACACCGTGGCTGAAAAACCATATCAGCACTATGTGACATCACAGGACCGGGCTGATATGGTACATCGGTAGTATATGGTAAAAAGAAAATACCTGCCTTTTTTCATACCGGCACGAGTAAGGAAAAGACAATGTATTAATCTGTAGATATTATGATTTAAATTTTTTGCAGATTATACAGAATTTTCAAATATCATTGCCTGCAGGAGTTACAGAAGTCAAATCTCACTACACACTATTTCGGACGCCATCAGAGAAAGTTACGCTTTACTTCAAGAAAAGAGGAATCAATACTACAACAGTGGAAACAAGTTGATTTTTTTTTTACAAGAACATAAACAGTTCATATATATGAGACAATCAATTGAACTTCTTATTGCTGATTTTTGTTGATTTTGGATGTAACACGTCTTCTGATTAGCTGAAAGTTTTTGTCTATCAGGTCATAGACAAAATTTTGTCATGTGACCGTGACGTCGTCAACGTTTTTCATTATTTACCCCTTAAAAATGGAATTTAGAATTAAATCATCAGGAATGATAGTGTAATATTTTTCTGTCTATTCGAAATAACCTAAAAATGTGGTGCTTACTTTTAAATAATCAGCTACGCGGGTTATTCAGTGGGCAACACGTTTGTGATGTAAATATTATTTCCTCATAGACAGAACAAATATAACAGTCATTCCTTAATTAATTCGTGTGAAGGTTAATATTACAATGTGATTTATTTCGTCAATTAAGAAAATATTCAACTTTTGCCATCTATATTTAAGAATTGAATGCTTCTTTTTTATAATTTAATTGGGATGTAAAAGCGTTGACCGAAGCGCTTCATTCTAAAAATGTACGCACGATCAACGCTTTTACAACCCTATAAAATCATAAAAAGAAGCATTCAATTCTTATAATTACATTATTATGCTACGACCATGATATGTAAGAGTTTTATCATGCTTTTCCTTTGTTTTGTATGCGTTGTTTTAACATTGTCACGGATAGCAAGTGCAGTCATAGCTGTTGTATTTTATACGGAAATAAAATTTGATCTTGGAGTGCCTCGCGGTTGTTGTCGACCAATCAAATTTACGGATTCTAATGAAACATACATGTAATGTAATTATGAAGCTTTACAAATTTAGGTCGGAATGAATGCTGAAATTGACATTATCTGCTTTGAGCAGCTGTTTGAATCCATTCTTGAACAAAAACATTATTTGATGGCTTGTAAAACGTCCAGTGGCAAATATCTTATGCATTTTCAGGATGAGAGCAAATTAACAGTTGATACAATAAGTTGATTCTGCAACATGGTTCGACCAGGATAAAGTTGGAACTAGAGTTGTCATGCAATATTTAATAAATTGATAGTGTCGGAAATTACAAAGGCTTTTAACCGCAGGTAGCTTAGCACTCTCCCTACATTGAGCATCAGATTTAACGTCCCCATTCCGACCAGGCGTAAGATGATTTTGGGTATATGTCAATAAGACAGTAACCCAACGACGAAAACAGATTTTGCGTATTTGAATGTATAATCTAATTTAATTGTTAGTATGTAAATAACTTTTCAGTGCACATAAGAGTTTGACCCTGGGAAGAGGGATCATGACGAGTCCCCTCCAGGCTCGTAGCTACGTTTACGTCAAAACGCCCGGGCGTACACATGAATTTAGAAGATATAAATAATTTAATCTAAATAAATTTAAAGAACTGGTGAAAAGCACGTGCATCTTGTACTTTTTTCTTTAATGGCTTGTAATTCGAGATAAAAGTGACAAAATTTAATTTTAATCAAATGGTATGTTATGTATTTGTTCATTGTCAGTTATAGTCTAAATCTACTGTGAATTCTACTTCGTATCCTATTTTAAAAAGCAATTTATTATATGTTGAGGTACAATATGCGGTTTCCATTTTCGTCGAGCATGCGTCGTTCATGTTGCAAAACGAGTCTTAGCGATTTTAGATTCCGTCCGCATCATCAACATTTAGGTTCAGTCTGTGGTTAAAGTTTGTTTTAAAACATTAAAAACATTGTTCCGGGAATTTTACCATATTTGGACAGTAGCTTTGTATGATCAATTTAAAGACAGTAGCCAAATTCTAATATATATTTTTATTCAACTGATAAATGGACGGATTTCTTTTACAGTTGATATTTGGACACAGTCTTAAAGTAGGTTAATGTTTTTCAGACATCAATAACTTTTCAAACCTTCATGGAAATAGGACACAAGCTTTTTTATACTAAAAGTCAGTATTCAGAGCATAATGGAAATATATTTCTACTTTTTTCCGTATTTTGTTTCTTTATAGTTAAAAAGTATAGTAACAGTCTAATGTTAAAGTTTGTTACCCATCAACTACTTTGTCAAAACCTTTATCGAATTGAATGAAACTTTTTCAGAAGCATTTTTATGATAAGGAGATAATGTCCGAAGCAAAATTTGGAAAGTACATGTATTTGGTGTTTCTATTTTTTTTTATTTTGAAAGTATTTTATTGACTTTTTGCAATTAACAAACGGTCTGGGATTATTTTTTCTACATAATAAAATGTGTACACCTTCATAGATTGTAAGTATGAAACTTGTAAATAATCTAATTGGCATGATCAAGATCAAGAAAAAGCATCTAAATAAAAAATGTTTGATTTTTTTTCTAAAATCCTGTATTTGACTGCATGATAAAAGTATTCTTTTTACAGTCAACATTACACTTTAAAACGGACAGCAGCAGTCCCAAGCCAGATACAGGGTTCCACGAATACCTTTTGAATTTTCATATTACACCTGACAATCTATGATAATTAACTATTTCTTATGTATTCATTAACGGAATTTGCGAATACAAATAGGAAAAAAATAGATGAAGTCAAAATAATTACTTTAACGACAACATTGATATATTTTACAGTAACTGGTTTTGGACATTTTCCCGTAGATCAATGACCATTATATTCAACATAAACACAATAAATGAATTGAACATAAAACTAAAATATAGACTCTAAAGCATGATTGTATATTTTTCTAGATAACGTCCCTCGAACCCACTACCAAGAGGTCCTCTGCCCTAGAACCGTTGGTTCGCGGAGGTTCGGGCGTACACTTAACAATGGACAAGCGACGCCACTGCACACCAAATGTAGAATACTGCCGAAATTAACCTATCTGTTAGAATAGTATCTGCTTACTTCTCCAACTCCTGGCACAATTTTCATCAGTTCTCATGATATGACAGCGTGTCGTGGCAATCAGTAACACAACACCTACATGTAAAAGAAAATAATTCTTTATCATCAGTATCAGCTATATATAGCTTGCAACCAAAAAATTAAGAATGGAAATGGGGAATATGTCAAAGAGACAACAACCCGACCAAAGAGCAGACAATATCCGAAGGTCACCAATGGATCTCCAACGCAGCGAGAAAATCCCGCACCTGGAGGTGGTCCTCAGCTGGCCCCTAAATAAAATTGTGTACCAGTTCATGTATACTTGTCAGTTTCCTAGCTAGCTAAAAGTAGAGGGCGCAGCTCTCATCTGCACTTTCTGTATCTATACTCACTAGTAAATGAATGTAAGTCTAAAGATGTAATTTTGATCTTAACTTCATAAAAAAATCTGGACAATAAATTATTCAGTTCTACTTAGTCTTTAAGCCAATTTCCAGACTTATTCTCTGCCACAAGCGGTAAATTCATTACTGTGTAGATAATTCAACTACAGTAAGTATCTTTTCTTTATTTTTATTTTAAATAGAAAGCATTTAAAAGGGAATTTAATCATACAATTTTTCCAGTGACCGTAGAATTACAAATTGTAGTAGTCAGAAATAAAAAATGAAATTTGGATGGCGATTACTCTTTTTTTATCTGTAAATTTCTAACTTCAGTTTCTTTGTTAAAGAGTATTTTCGTAGATACATTAAATTTGGACTCTTACAACTGTTCGGATTGGATTTAAAAAAAAGTAATCATAATTATTGACATACTGTACACATTTTAGTCATTCAAGTTTATAATTACTCAGGATGATATCTAAATTAAATATAATTACTATGACAGTGTATGGCATAGCAACTTAATGTTCACTATAAAACATATAAAACCAAAAAAGACGAAAGAAAGAAAAACAGTACGATATTGTGAATTTTATGATAAGTTCGTTTGTCCTTTATACAGGTATTGCCATAGAGTTTGAACATATAACCTAATTATTACACATTTTTTCTTCAAAAAAATTCGATTGCATGGGCTCACTTGTATTATATAAATTAAATCAATACGTTATTTACTGGATATAAAGAAACAAAAATACAGTGTGGTTGATATGATGGTATTGTCAAGGTAACTTATCGTATTTTGCTGTTATGTATACCAACCGCATCTCCTTTCGTTTGATTATTCCTAAATTATTCACTGTTCTTATTTGTGTTGTTTCTGTTTTTCATACATACCATACATTTATCTTACATTTATCTGCAAGTTGACCATATTGCCGAAGATATGATGCACAACAATGAAATGAGTTAAATGTAGAAGAAATATGTGTTCTACACTCTATCAAAAAACTAATCTCAGTGAGAATGCATTGTTCAATTTTGAAGGATTGAAAATCGTCAGTATGCATACGATTTACACAACCTGAAAAAGATGAATTTAACAAATTAAACATGAATAATAGAACTTTAATAATTTAGTATCAAAGATGTGTTCAGAGTTTATTTAATTGTTGGTTTGATGTTTATTTGGGAGTGCAACAAAATATACCTATTACGCATGAAAATTTCATAAGAAATGTTTTCATTGGTTTCAAACAATAATTATGGTCAATTCATAAAAAGGAAACACAGGTTATATCACGGACAATAAAGATCAATTTTTATATCGAGGTGATCTGCAATTTTCAATTTCTAAATAAGAAATAACAGGTAAGCTGAAATAATCACGTATGTCAAAAAAAGTCGTATGAAGTCGTCCATCTGTGTCAATATCAAAGAAAAGATCAAGACATGAAGCATACCTTCATGTTTTGGCAGTATCCCTTTCGGGATAAATGAGATACAAACACTCGCTTTCATTTAAGTTCATATTATTTCAACGTATCAATGCAAACTTGCTTTAAAGCGTTTCGGTTTCTAGAAATTAAAGTGCCTCGGACTCACGTAATTTTATTTGGTGTTAATATCATCACTAACATATGGGTTATTGAGTAAGAGGATATGATCAATATATATGAAAGTGTAATAAAAAATGACATTTACTTTTTGTGAGAAAAATCATTGACACAAAATTATACTGTTATTAATTTTCTCGCTTTTTGTACAAATGTACTGCATAAGGAAATTCGCAGGAGAATTATAGTGCACACATATTTTATAAATGAATTTCCAGTGAAATAATATTCACAATTTGGCATAACATATTGATACAATTGAATGGTTTATAGGATCCGGAAACAAGCTATTAAATTATATTAATCCAGGAGAATTATAGATGACTCAATATAATTTTAAAAGCAATGCAAGTTTAAAATTTTTACATGTTAGGCTAAGGGGGAGGGGTCAACCTTTCATGGCAGGTTCAAGACGAAATACGATACAAACATGTTGTAAGTGGGTATATGTATAACTATGGAAACATTTTTACAGCATTTTGGCTAATAATATCAGATTAAGGACTGCATAGGACGAGGTAACCTTTCATGGAAAAGGCCAATATATCATTGCTCAGGAATATTGTTCTGATATACCATATTTAAAGTCAAAAGAGACACATATTAGAAAATAATAACTAAATCAAGTATCACTAATTTATCAGTTATTATTATTAGGTAGCCTGACTTTGTGGAGAGTGGTACAATTTGTATGGCATTTGGGTTAACCATGAATTAGTAAAAGTTCCTGTGATATCTTTTCCATATTATATAAAAATTAGAAGATGTGATATTATTGCGAATGAGACAACAATCAATTAGAGACTAAATGACATAGCAACAGTTACTATAACATGAATAGGTAACCGTACAGTCTTCAACAATGAACAAAAT